GCTCCATAAATAATACTAGATACCTTATTGTTTAAATGTGTAGAATCCACATAAGCTTGTTTTTCATCAACCGGTCAAAATTTACAGCAGGGCATGCAGATTCAGTCCGTTTTTGGCCAGACAGAAACTGCACACAGACTCATTCTTCCCACTGCTCGCTCTTTTGTGACTAACTTTCTCAGTTGGTCACACCAGCACATGATTTGGTCACAATATTTTTATTTTTAGGGATTAATCAATGCATGCTGATAAACTTTTATCATAGTTTATAATTATATGAAAACGAAAGTGGTTAACATTCAACACCTTCTTTTTCATCAGTATTATTTGTGATTTAAATTTTGTGAACGGGAGTTCCTATTTACGTTATAACCGGCTTCGGGTGCTTTCACTTTCGAATTCGCGATCTTGGTGTCACGTTTTGCAGGAAAAGATAATTGCCCTGTGCTGGACAGTATTTATTTATCCTCAGTTGTTCAAATCGCGGTAATAGAATACGGTTATGTTGATAATTAAAATATGAAACGGTATTACTAACCGTGGGGTATTTTATCACGATTTATCGTCAAACCGGTAATCGTTACATCCCTAACACACACATAACACATACACTCATAACACACATAGAGAGACAGAACCTGCATCCCTGCAAACATCACCATGACGACTGCCATGAGAGGAAATGACATCATCGCTATCTGGGGTCATGTGACACTGTGAGAACACGATCACAGTGAATCAGAGACTGTGATCATTATTTACACGGCTTTCACGTGACGCCACCACGCAACTCAGGTCTGAATTATTGCAATGAAATAATGGAATGGAATGCAATTAATAACGCAATTAATTAATACAGTTAACTTATGTGTGAATTAATGCAATCATTATAACTATATTAAATGCTGATTCAAGGTTGAACATTTTAATGAATCTTTGGTGACATCACATGAAACGGCCTCTTCAGTCACACTGATCACATCACAGCTGCGCTTTCTTTATTCATCAGTGTTGTATTGTTAAAGAGAGAGAATTCACTTTCATTCCAGCGTCCAGCAGACACCAATCTTTCTGTTTTAATCATTCATTACAGTAAAACAGCATCAGCCTCTGCTTAGTTTCCATGACGACATGTCGACATCCCATCACAAAGGACATGCATTGTTACCAGTGTTGGGAGTAACGCATTACAAAAGTAATAATATTACAGTAGTATATTACTTTTTGCTGTAACGCAGTAATATAACGCATTACTAATCAAATTTGGGTAATATTATTACTCGTTACAATCTCAGTAACGCAAGTTACAACAACATATTTTAACTCAAAATTAAGTGGTGAATTTACTAACACCACAAAACAGCACCAGCGAAAAAATTACTCGTGTAAAATAGTTCGTCTATTTCCTGTTGCTGTAAATAGATAACTAATTACTTTCAAAAGACAGTAACTAGTAATATATAATGTATTACATTTTGGAAGTAACTTGCCCAACACTGATTGTTACCATACCAACAACAGTGCATTAGAGCGCATGGAGACCTACACAATGAGTCGCAGGAGTTCTGCAGGAAGATGAAGACGAGCAGCAGCAGCGAGGAGCGGAGAGGACCCCTGCCCCAGACAGCCATGACCCTCGACGACTGACTCCAGACACACTGCAGAGAGAGAGAGAAACACTCAACAGCAACGCAGAAACACAACACACACACACACACACACTCTCTCTCTCACACAC